CCCGGGGTTTTTTCCCAATTTCCACCCCCGTGGCGGGGGTTTTTTTTTTTTTTTTTTTTTTTTTGGGGGGGGGGAGGGAGGGCGGGAGATCAATGTATAAATAAAACAAAAAAAATAAAAAAATAAAACAAAAAGGACATGAGAGATGTAGTGTGAACGGCGGCTCTGGGAGAAGCTGCTGAACGCGCCGTGCGTAACAGTGCGGGGAAGCAGGTGGATGGAGAGGCTGGCGGGATGCGGCTTTCCGGCGGGTCGGAGCCCCGTTTGGGAGCAGCGGGACTCGGCGTGCTCTACCGTGGGACAACCCGGACGCGACACAGTGACGATGGAGCTTTCTGATTTAAATGTAAGTCAAAAAAAGAAAAGAAAAAAAAAAAGGACTGACATTTTGGACGCTGCGCTCTTGATCCATTTAGGCTCAACTCATTAAACAACAATGTAATCTCTCATGTAGTTTTTGGCACTCACGTGAATACTGGAATTTCACTGTGAAAGCTTTACATGTGAAGTTTTGCTTCTTTTTTTTCTTGGTAAGAAAACAACGGCAACAAAACAAGAAGAAAAACTACCAGATGCATGATATATATATGTATATATATATATTTTACTCCAAATACAAGTGTCATGCTATTTAAAGGAATACTTTGAAATTAAAGATTGTATTGCTACTGTCTTGTTAGCTGAAAATGAAGGATGACCAGTTTTTCCACGTTGCTTCTCTTTGAAACGTCCCATTGAGCTGGACGTGTTTCACTTCCTCCAGGTTAACTGAGGCTGTAACAAGCCGAGCTGTGCATGCTGCTTCCTCCTCATCCTCATCGTTTCAGACACAGAGTACAGAGCAAGCTCACTATTAGACCTTCTATTTGCAGCCAGAACAAAAATAATAACTTGTCCTATGTAATGAAAGCAACAGATTACGCCAAATTGAATTGAACCCCTAGGAAAGTAATCATCGCTCCTTTCCAGAAAGTAAACCTGTCCTGCCTCTGACTCACTCCTTCATCCTCCCAGACATCCGTCATATCGAGCTCTCCGGTATCTGTAGGGAAACGAATGCAATTCCCTTCTTGAAACTTAACCACAGCAGCTTTCAAAAAGAGTAATATATAATATATTTGAATTGAGAAACTATCCCCCCCTCTTCTTGGTGTTTTCATCCCCTGAATCATTTCTGACCCCCACTGCTTTTCCCCACAGCATTCACAGATGTCACAGTCAAATTGGCAGGGACATTTTCAGAGGAAAAAGAAATTCACCTTAGCTTCACTGTTTTTTTTTTTTCTTTTCAGTTTTTAATTAGGAAAATAGTGTGGACTTTTGGATTCTAATGCTGCTCTGAATCTTTGCTTTGTGCAGTTCAATCTACAGCTGATTGTAGATTTAACTTGATTGTGAAGCAGCGGTTTGGTTGCGGCGCGGTTTCAGTAAGTGTGTTTTTAAAACTGCTCAAAATCCTTTGAATGAGACAACGGACTGAGCGCTGGGCTGACAGCAGGTTTCTCTGGCTGTATGGAGCACAGAGTAACGCCACTCCCCCCTCCCCCACTTGTTGCTACACAGTGATTAGTTCAAACCTGGCTGACTGGAAATATACATAAAACACTTCATATAGATTAACCAAACAACGACATATCTTTTAAAGCCTTTATATGACTGATGGTTGTCCCTTGTTCAATATTAAACTATGCTTTGGAGCTAGGGGTGCACCGATTGCAGTTTTCTGGCCGATCATTGATTACCGATTTCTAAAAACCCTGAGCTGCTGATGGAGATTTTGGGTCATACTGATGTTTTTGCCTGAAACGTCGCAAGAAAGTTGCTGACCCGGTCACAGTGGGGTGACCGGGTCAGACTGTGAATGTGCAGACATGACCTGGACAAACCTCTCTCACAGCAGAGCAAAAGGGGACAATGTTTGATTTTTAGAGCATTGACAATGTAGATAAGATCAGCTTCACATGGAAGTATGGGCCAATCACAAAGCTCCCAAAATTAAGGAAAAAATCGTCCTGACTCGTATTAAGATGCCATTTTAAAACTATTCTGGTCAACCTATCAGTGGCTCCTCTGTAAAGCAGTTGACTTCAGGCTAGTTGCTAAGCTAATATTAGCTTGTTACACTCACAGGGTTATACTGTAAAAGCAAAATGGCAAAAAGGAATAAAATTTTTTCGCAATAAGTACTAGAAAACTACCCCACTTTTGATGTTTACTGTTACACTTAATAATGTTAGGATTATCATAACTGAATTAATACATTTGATTATTTCAGCAGCAGTAGGAACAACTGTAGTGTTTCTGTTTAAAATCAAAGCAGTGACATCACATTGCCATGTGACAGCCATACCTTATGTGCAAAGTGCGAATTGGAATGAAAATGACTGAATTTCTAGCTTCTCGACTACATTTATCTGTATTAATATGCCAAAATGGAAAAAGAAGGGGCAGTTTTCTGGCACACACTCTAGTTTTTGTACCACTTTAGTTTTTTAGATACTTTTAACAGATGAATAAATTACTCTCCCTAACAGCCTTTAAAGAAAAAGTTTTGTTTTTTTTGTTAAATCCTCATAATTTGTTTTTAATCTTTACTCTGATCGTTTCAGACACAAAAACCATTACTCCAAAAAATCAACTCTGAGAGCTGAGCTCATGTAGTCTGTCCGACTGTCGAGACAGTCGCTGTCACCGCAGGGGGGGTGGAGAGTGAGTGATCCTGCCACAGTGTCAGAGCTGTTTGTCCCAGAGATCAATTGAATAAACATTCGACTCTGGCAGCGCGGTGCCCTCATCGTTCTCTTTTGCTCAGGCGAACGTATGAATGTATGCATCCGCGCAGGAGGCAGAACACACACACACCAACACACGATCGAATACATATACACACAAACGAGGCGGAATACTCGATATGAGGTCTGTGCTAGAAAGTGAGAGGAAAATAGAAAGCCCAATGGGACTGAGCAAAAAATGTGTACGTGCCACTAAGAAAAAACAAAAAAAAAACAATCCTGTGTGCTTATTCAGGATGTTGTTCAGTCTGTGTCCTTGTGGCTGTTCTGTTACAAACCCCAAAGTGCTTTCCACCACCCCTCATGTTTTCACTCCCCCACTGTGCATCTCAAATGCAGAAGAAAATGGCCAAAAGTTATTTTTACTGCTCGTCTTATGAAAACCGGAATGGCCCGTCGTCTTGTTTATGCGACTGTCTGCCAAAAGCTTGCTGGGAGTCACAAGAAAGCTGCGATTACAGATGATGGAAGAAAACAAACTGAACTTATAGACGCACAATATCGAGAAGGGACACATTAAAAAATGTTACTAAGGGTGAACGTGCACAGTCAGTTTTGTAATGTCACGCTGTAACTGTTGCCATGGTTATTGCATAAGTCTCATTATTACTGGTCAAAGGATATATACTGTTAATGTTTTTTATTGCTTTTCTCTCTCCATAGATTGACTTTGCTCTGTTTTACTTCCTCTGTACCGCTGGAATGTGATCATTGTGGCTCCTTGAACATAAAAGTCCCCAGTCATCCCAGTCCCCAGATCCCCAAACCTTGAGACTACAAAGTTTCCACTTGCCTCTTCCCTTGGCTGCTGTTTTTTCCCCCCAGCTTAAAACCTTAATGAATCCTTTTAACCTTATTATTATTCAGTGAAATCAGTGCTTTGAGGCAGTGAAGTAAAACCCATTACCATCCTCGTTTTATGACTCCCATCTTTCATACCAACTTTATCTTAAACCCATAAGACCTTCTGATTCAAGTCTTTGAGTCATGGCCTTGGATGTGTGGCCCTACATCCCACCGTCCCCTAACATCACCATCCCAGAGCCCCTCCTGTATGACACCTATAACCAGGAGAATGACTCGGACCTGAGCGGCAACTTCTCGGACACCAGAGAGCTCCATCAGGACAAGACCAGCTCGGTCGTCCTCACCTTCATCCACTTCATGGTGTGTGCCGTGGGACTATGCGGCAACACCTTGGTGATCTACGTGATCCTACGCTACGCCAAGATGAAGACGGTGACCAACATCTACATCCTGAACCTGGCGGTGGCGGACGTCCTGTGCATGATGAGCCTGCCGTTCATCGCTCTGCAGCTGGCGCTGGTCCGCTGGCCCTTTGGAGAGGCTCTGTGCCGGGTGATCATGACCGTAGGTGGGTGGAAAGCAGAAGGCTGATGAGTCATTGTGGACAGTAGCAGCGGCTTTTAATGGATGAAGGAGGACTTTTAGGTTTCCCAACTGAGAAATTATCCTGGAGTCGTTATCTGGCATAGTCGCTATAAAACAAACTAAGTGTCAATCCATTTAGCCAGAGCTAACAATTATGTTTCTGTGCTGCAGAATCTGTTGGAGAATGTTGTCCTATGAGTTATGAAAAGGTTTTATTGTTTTAGCAATGCAGGTGTTGACATTTTAATCATAGCCCCTTGTCTATAGCAGCTTTTCATATCAACTCTTGCATAAAATGTTAAATACAAGTTTCCAATATCTTGAATGAATTATTGAAAGGGGAAGTATTATTTAAAATTCTTTTTTTTTTTTTTAGCTTTTCATAATGTTATGTTATTCCCTCATCAAAAATATAGCTGCAGCATTCGTTGCCTTGATTCTTTCATGCATATTTGAGAAATTCTTTTATTTCTCCTGTTTAATGTAGAATTAGACCGTTAAATTTTTAGGACAGGATTAAATGGTGTCCAGACTCCCACAAAACCTTGAAAGCGGACTTTAAAAGTGAACCCTAATTTACCACCAACCAGAATCTACCAAGTAGATGCTAACTTTAGCATCAATACCCACTAAGAATAAGCTAATCGCTCTATTTTTACAGTGCTTTCAAGGCATTAGTATCTTGTCTTTACAAGTTCTGTTTACTATCAAATACCTCAATTTTCAAGATCAAGGAAAAATTATTTCATAACTAGGACAATGGAAAACTAGATGATAAATAGCTAAGATAATAGATGTAAAAATGAACTATAAAATGGTTTTAGGATAGTTGTAATAGACTATCCTATAATGTCAATATAGGATAATCCTATATTGGACTATTGACATTTGTCAATAGTCCATTTGTCATAGACATTTGTCAATGAGCATGGTTGAGATATCAATTTTAATTTTACATATCTTTTTTATTACCTTCTGTGGGACATCTAACTTTCCTCTGATGAGCCTCTTCTCGTTCCTCCACCAGATTCTCTCAATCAGTTCACCAGCATCTTCTGTCTCATGGTGATGAGCATTGATCGGTACCTGGCCGTGGTTCACCCCATTCGGTCCACCAAATGGCGGAAGCCCCGTATTGCCAAACTAATCAACGTCACAGTGTGGGGCATCTCACTGATAGTCAACCTGCCAACTATGATCTTCAGCGGCCTGAACCAACTGCCAGTGTGCGGGATAGTGTGGCCGGAGCCCCAGGACCTCTACTACAAGATCTTCATTTTCTACACCTTCTCCATTGGATTTTTCATGCCCCTAGCAGTGATATGTCTGTGCTACCTGCTCATAATAATCAAGGTGAGGCACCGACAGTGCAAGTGTGCTGCTTGTTCTAAGATTTAATTTGTTTTTTGTTCTGGACAAAACAAGCTGGACAAAAACGGCGCAAAAATTTCTCGAAGACTCAACATTTCTTTTTGAAACCAGTTCATACGGAATTAGCGTGGCAAATTAGCAAAACTATCAATCGTTTTCTGCTTACTTCTACTTAAACTGGACAAAGAACGATGCCAAAAGATGTCTACAATGGAAAACTTCGAACCAGAACAATGTGATGTTTCAACCATCCAGTTCATGTAGTTTTTAAGACTATATTTAGCTGCTAGCTAAATTTTAGCTGCTAGCTAAATTTGCACAAGCAACTGTGCAAAAATATTTTAATAATGAAAATAACATAACATAAAGGGAGTGAAATCCAAATTATCATGATCACTGGTTATTAAATAACTAGCTGTTATCAGTGGTTTTCTGAGAGTCAATCAACTGCAAATAGTCCAGAGCCCTCTATGATCGGGAATCAGATCATATTTGTCTGAACAGTAAATGTTTACTTGTGCTTAAACTGGACTAGAATATTTGCTGATTTTTTTTATTTGTATTTTCTCAACAGTGAAAATCTTAACCAATCAATTTCACAACTTCATTGGATACTAGCTAGCTAACATAGATGTTTCCAGTTCATTTCTGACCAAGCAGGATAGGGAACAATTTAAGAAGGGAAATCTTTGTTTTCATATTGCTCATTTGTTCTTTCAGTACATTTTGTAATTGTAGAACATATCCTTGATAACATATCTTTGATATGTTATACAAAAAGATTGAGGTTGTAAAAAAAAAAGCTGTGTCCAATGCCTTAGAAAAAGGAAAAAAAATCTTTTCTAGAGGAGTCTTCTTTTTCAGCATTTTAAAATTATATTCCCACAAAATGTTTTTTTATGACTACTTTAGTTGAGCCAGACAATAGGACTGATTGAGCAGAATTCAGAGGGACTGTATTGGACTGGATGTTCCAAGAGGATTTAAACTGGAAGTGTTTGTTTTTTTTGGACTGTGAGTGCTGCTGAAATAACTTTATCCATAAAATCAAATCTAACTAAGATGAATGAATGTCGAGAAATCCTAACTTTTCTATTTCAAAATTAGGCGCTTTAATAGAAAATGCATTAATGTGTTGTTTTTGTAGCAGTTTTAATTTGCTTTAGGTCTTAAATGATAGGTTAATTCATTTTTATACAGAAGTTTCTCAAAGTATTCAAACCCATTGAATAATTGTTTGATATTGTCACACACCTGACCATAAAGTATTTTTGTGGGATTTTGTGTAATAGACCAATGCAAATGCAGCTGATAATTGTGAAGCAGGATATATATGTTTTATAAAAAACCCATATAAACATTACATCCCACTAAAATACATTGAACTTTTTTATTTTTGCAAGACGCCATATTTGTTGCTATTTTACACAATATCCTGACCTTATCAGCTACAATAACTCTTTAAAGAAGAATGCTGAATTAATATGAGCTACAACAACAGTTAATTTCCTTTTGGGATCAATAAAGTATTTTTGAATTTAATTAATGTTTCCGTCGGTGGATTTGCTTTGTATTTTGGATGCCTTAAACTACTTTCCGTTCTCTTCACCAGGTGAAATCATCCGGAATACGAGTGTGTTCCTCCAAGCGAAAGCGTTCCGAGCGCAAGGTGACGCGGATGGTGTCCATTGTGGTGGTGGTGTTCGTCCTCTGCTGGCTACCTTTCTACATTTTCAACGTCACCTCCGTCACCAGCTCCATAACGCCCACCTCGGCGGTGAAGACTTCGTTCGACTTCGTGGTGGCGCTGGGCTACGCCAACAGCTGCGCCAACCCTATCCTGTACGCCTTCCTGTCCGACAACTTCAAGAAGAGCTTTCAGAATGTTCTGTGCCTGAAGAAGGTGGCAGGCCTGGACGAGATAGAGCGCAGCGACAGCCGGGCGGACCGGAGCCGGATGGTTAACGAAGCCATGCTCATCAATGCCAACCTGGAGACCCATAACTCCGCCCTGCTCAACGGTGAGCTGCAGACGAGCATCTGATTGGCAAGGGAGCGGCGACGACATCCAAAGAGGCGAAGAAAGCAACGGGCTGCTGCCTGTTCAAATTGCAAGGCCATGACAATGATGTAACGGCAGCTCATGGACACATGAGCAAAGTCTGACAGAAAAATAAACAGTTTCTTGAGGGGTTCGTAGAGTTCACAGAAAGTGCATTGGCTCCATTTATAGACTCCTGACGATGGGGTAAATGAGGCAACCTGTTTACCTTCAAATCGACCGCAAGTATGAGAGATTTATTTTGTTTGAAATAAGAGTGCTTGTGGTGCCCGTCAGTTTCCCTCTTCAGAGATCCAAGCAAATAGTAAGATGAGATAGACCGCTGCGGACATGGAGTGAAGAAATACAAGAGCAACATTGCCCTGTATCGGCTGGAGAGTAGTCCGAATTAGATCGACAACCTCTACTGAAATCACCTTCGCAAAGACGGAAACAACAAAGGAATACTTCTATTTTCTGTAGCCTTTTAGTTGCAAGAGACTGAAACCGCCGCCCACAGACAACAAGTGTTACTGTATATTTTACTCATGTCAGCGTATTAGTTTGGTTGTTTAGAACTGAAAGGGGGAACAAAGAGGTATCCTTTTATCTTCTGACGGATTCTGTTCTCGTTTGTCTGGCTTTTAACTTCACGGAAGGAGTAGCGACAACTCGTAAGCACCAATTCAACATCTCGGATTAATGATCAAGGATGGGAAATCATTTCTGCAGGCGGTCTAACCTTGCTTCTCCAAAACAACTTGACTTTGTACATAGCAAACAGATTTCGAGGAAACTTTGCAACAAAGTGATATTACTGCTTCATGTGTGTCCAAGAATTAAATGGATTTTAATGGCAAGGCAAACTTCTACATATTCTTGCCAACTGAAGTCGGTGATATGTACAGTATAGGTCTACTTGATCCTGACTTTTACAGGAGTCGTCACTGCAAAGAGCCCTATATCTATTTGTACATTTCGACAAGCGCGCTGATTCGTGGTAAAACGTGACCCTCTGATTCCCGTTTGCTTTGGTATGAGAGGGTGAGAGGGTGTCCAAATTTCCCAGAAGGCTGAAAAATGCGTCACGCATCTGAACAAGGGGGAGAGAAACAATGAAACACACGGAGAGTAGGAAAAAGGGAGAAATACGTGCGTGACGAAGATAAAGTTTAAAAAGGCTGTGGTGGGATGTATGAATCAAAGAGAATAGCAGAAAGTAAGGTCCTTGAATATGTGGGTGAGTGAGTAAGGCTGGATAAAAAACACTTATTCAAGTTCTTCACACTTGAATAAGTGTGAAGAACAAGCATTATGCAACATATATATATATATATACATATATATATATATATATATATATACACACACACAAACACACATTCATTTCAGTACATTAAAATATTACTGGAAAGTTAATTTATTCCAAAGTAAAAAGTCAAATCCATATATAAATTGATCAGTTTTGATGATTTATGGCTTACAGCTAAAGAAAACCCCAAATTTAGTTGTTCAAAAAATAAATATTAGAGATATTATATAAAACCATAAGTAATTTAGGGAAAGGGGCTCCTCTGAATGAATTACTGCATCAGTATATCATGGTAAGGCAGAAATCAACCTATGGCTCCTTTTAGGTCTTAAGAAAGGCTGGGCCGCCTTAAGGGTGTTTTCACACTGATGGAAGGTGGGCTCTATTTGATATGGGACCTAAAAATGACATTTGTTATATTTGCGGTTCGCTTTCATACCACACTCAAACCAGCCAAACCCCTTTGAGGAACCTGTTCCCCCTCTTGCCTGTGCATTGCACCAAGAACCACTAAAGGAAATGACAAAAAGAAAAAAAAAACTCTTAAGAGGTTTTTGAGAGGTTCTTAGCACAACTTCTCCCTTCACAAATTGTAAATAAAAATGGAGATTTTAGCAGTTGTAGGATTTCTCTTTTGTCTTTGGCATAAAAAAATCACGAGCCATTTGTTCTGCTAGCTCTAGAGACTGATGCATTTGTTTTGGTTGCATATACGCAGAATGTCCTATGGTTAACTTCCTGCTTTTGGAGAGGCCTCCTGTTCACATATGCATTCATTTCACACTGGAGTTTATTACAACCAAACAGAGACCTAGGTTTTAAGACGGACCATAAGTCCACCTCAGAGTTTGATTGCACATTCACACCTCCACGAACCAACCGGATTTTCTTGGCAAACGAACTAGAGTTTGATTAAGATGGACTAAACAGGACTAATGTGAATGCACCCTTCGTGACCTTAGGCTTATCTGCATTGTGCTGTTCTGGTGTCTCTCATTTCGATTCTATAGGGTTAAGGGCAGGTGAGTTTGCTGTCCAGTCAAGCACAGTGATCCCATTGTCAGTCAATCTGGTATTGGTACTTTTATCCTTCTGGAGAATGGAATGAGAATTTCCATACACTTGCCAATGGATGGAAGCATTAAACACCTTATAATCTACAAGCAAATTGCAGATTTTTCACTTGATAAAAGGTTTTGGGTCAACAAAAGCGAATGACATGCAAATCATCCCTGAATGTGGACCTTTACACTGAACCTGAAGCTACTTGGATTCTGTGCCTCTTCACTCTAAAATTTCCTTTCCTCCACAAAGACAACTTTGGATCACTGATTTGGATCACTAGAACCATCTGATTTGTGTGGTTCAGGATTGATTTGACATGAGAGATATGAGTTGTACTCCATATCCTAGGTACATCCTTGTGTCTCGGCTCTTGAAGCTCTGAATCCATCCACAAATGTCTTTAAGCTTTGCTTTACAGTCCTTTAAAGGCAGCAAGTACATCTGTCTGTTCTGCAGATTTCCTCTCCACTTCGAAATGCCATTGACATGCTTGTTTAGAATACTCTGCCAGGTTATTTACCTTTTCATGCGTACAGTCCCTGTAGAGGGCATTGATGACTTTCAGCTTCACAACAGTTAAGTCAGCTGTCTTTCACACAACTGTGAAGGCGTTTGCGCCACGTTACTTTGGTAAAGATTATTTTCCTGTTGGTCTCATATTGAGTTTTCATCAGCTATAAGCCATAATCAACCAAACTACCAGAATCAAACTTGACTTGAGTTGTTTTTTTAGCACTTTGAGTTTAATGTAATGTATTTGACTTTCTTAAATTGGCATTAACATTTTAGTATTTGGAATTATTCAATTGCACCTGTACAGTCTGCGTGCTGCCTGTCTGGTGATTAGCATTGCCTCCATACCCAGTTTCCTCTATTGCACCTCATTAGTCTCGTTATTCTGGTTTTCATTTGTCACAAAACCCAGAAAAATATTTGCATACATTACCCTTGGGGTAAACAATACCCTCAACAAGAGAAAGAGTGCGAATGAGAGAATTTCTACAAAATTGGAATGAGTCATCCAAGACGGCCAGAGGTGAGCAGAACTGAGCTGTAATCCTGAAAAAAAAAGGATTTTTTTTTTTTCAGGATTACTTCTCATCGTCACCTCATTCAAGGTGACGATGAGAAGGACTGATCCTACAGAAACTGTGTCACACTCAAACATGAATATGCAATCGTGAGCATGGTTGGATGCCTAATTGGAAATGAGCAGAAAGAAATGTGAATAAAGTTAATACAGTGGAAAACAATATGTGCACTTAAAAATTATATGCCACTTAATCCGAAGCAAGAAAAGCAGATGCAAAAGTTATATCCATAGGATGTCAGTTATAGCTTCACTTTTCGCCAATAAATTCAATATTAGTGTCTTGTACTAAAAATCAAAACATAAATGGTTTCTGTTGCAGAAGTTTGTCACAGTATCAACGATCAGAGACTCCTTTAAAACAGAAGGTGGTTCTCTCTACATCAGCTGATTTTAGTCATGGTGGTTCCGGTTGATTCTACATTAGATCCACGTTCTAGAACGTGGTTCTAATGTGTAGCTATAATTACACAAGTGCCCCCAAGCCAAGGTTTGTTTTGTACATACTAGTTGTTTGGACTGTTGTTAGCTGGAATTGGGTCTTTGGTTCCAGAGGGAACCAATGATTGTGTAGAGTTACAGCTTATTCCAAAATTATTTATACTGCTTTTTATTTATTAATTCAATCAAGTCTGTTTCTGACAGGAAATGACACAGGCGTCTCTCAAAAGATAAAAATAATTATTACTAATGAATAAACATAAAACACTTTAATTACATAAGTGCAGTGAAACCCTTCTTGTAACTGCTTTTTTACATCTTTAGTGTTATTTTCTTCCTGGTATATTTATTTAGTGTTGAGCACCAAGTCTTTGAGGCTGGAAGGCCTCCTTGAAATCACCCTAATCTTTAGCTCTGTCAACAGATTATGAAACATTTGTGCTACTAAACCAACTGTAGTTCCACAAAACTCACTTAGCTGAGAAAACAGCGACAAACTTAACTGCATAATTGCAAAAGTCTAGATTATTAATCTGTTTACAGATTTGTATTCCATAAATGTAGACATTTTCAGTGTCTAGACTCGTTTTTAAAATGGGAAACCCATTTGACTAGCTAGTAGCCTTCCTTCTCTCTGGGAAGGAAGGGAATTTTTACAAACTCAATGCCATATGAGTCCTGTGTGGTCCAAATAGTTGAACACCTATTGATACTTTAATTTAAATTTACTTTTGATTAAAAAGGGTGAAGGATTCCTATCACATACCGGCATACAGCTGGCCTATGTGTAAGCCCAGAAAACTAAATTCAGCTTGTCATTTTGACATTTGCCTTAGTTTTATTTCCTATGCATCTCATTCTGCACAGTATAATAAACTAGAGGCAGTTATTAGAATGTTTGAGTCATCTTAGGGTTTGTGTGCTAGACTTAGCATATATGCTAAAGAATGCTAGTGCATTTGTGAGTGTTAGCAGTGAGCTCAGAACAAAAATTAGACAACTTCTTAGCCTGGTTAGGTTTACAGCTAACGAGCAAAGCTAAAATTTGACACGATACCAGAATCTGCTATGCCTCATATTTTTTCCCATTGTCATTTTGAAGTCGAGACGTTTCAGCCATAAATCTTGACTCCCGGCTGCTTAAATTTGACGCATTTTTAATTTTAGCTAAAAATAACTGGATTACTACGTGATTACAACCTTACAGAAAAAGATGTGTATAAAAGTACACAGTGTTTTTTTTTTTTTTTTTTTTGGTACTCTGGTGCACAGCTTACATTATACAGAACTGGGCTGAGATTACATAACAAGGACCGGAACCTTTTTCTGGATTTTTTTTAAGTCGCTTTTTACCGGGAGCGATCCTCTTAATTGTTAATTTGGACTACATCCGTAACAGTTGTCAGTCCTTTCCCTAAAATAATCAAGTTTTAATAGAGCCACAATTGTAGCTGGCAAAATTATATCTGCTCAGCAGGGGAAGATTCATCGAAAGATAAAAAAAATAATTGAAATTCTTTGTTGTTTATCGCTTCATTCATGTTGACAGAATGAGTCCACGAACCAAGCACACACATGCAGAGTGATTTATTTTATTTTTTTCCCCAATCGTTAGGATGGAGACGCTTCTCAAAAGCACCTCAATGATGGTGTCACAACTGGGTGGCTGGGAGATTTGTCAGATATCTCAGAAGCCAACAGCAACAAAGTTGTAACCATATGCTACGCAAATGAATTCTCTCAGAAACCATCGAACTGCATAATCAGAACAGATAAGAAGCACAGATATGTTTCTTTCTGCATTTATATTCATTAATTCTCTCTAATTTTCTTTTCTTTCTTTTTTTTTTACATTACTGTTAGGATCTGTGTAGTTTCTGTCTGTCTAGTCCTGTTTTCCCCTGAGTCTGTCTCGATTGATCCCAGCTGTGTGTCGTTCCTGTGATTACCCTCCCAGTGTATTTAGTCCCACCTGTTGTCAGTGTTCTTTGTCGGATCGTCGTCGTGTTCACCCTAGTCTACGTCTGTGTCTACCAGTGATTTAGAGTTGTTCTCCTGGTTGTCATTAAATCTTCTTCATCATCATGACTACCTGGGTTCCCCGGCGTCTCTCTCACCACTCTCAACCACACATCATGACAATTACACCAACAAACCTAATATTAATGGGGATTTCTGTGATAAACCAACAGAAAGTACCACATGGAAGGAAAGTGTTGATTTTCTCTTTTTGTTTGTTTCTTTTTACAAATAAAAATCTGAAAAGTGTGGTGTGCATTTTTACTCAACCCTCCTTGTAGAGGTACTGAGCATAAGCACCTTTTCTGGATTGACAGCTCCAATCACAAAGTTTCCCAATCATTATTTGAGAAACAGCTCTAGCTCAGTCAAATCAAATGTAAATCTGCCACAGATTTTGAATTAAATTCAGCTATTGACTTTGACTTGACTATTCTAATACATTAATATATTCATATTAATGTAATAGAATAGAATACCTAAACCAGTCCAAAGTACCTCTGAATGTATGTGTGTACCTTTGTATCTGTCTCAAGTCTTTTACCATCAATCTTTCTATCAACCAAAAAAAATTTCACCACATCATGATGCTGGCATGTTGTTCAAGAAGTTACATTTTGATCTCATCTGACCAGAATACACTTTTTTTTTTAATGTTCCATACAAGGCTTAGGGCAAACTGTAACTCCAAATTTGTTTCATACCGCTTCAGGTTTTATTTTGTCTAGTGTGGTGCACTAATGCCTAATGATGCAAATTTTACACAAACAATAATATTCCTCTCTAGCCATCTAATAATGCCTAATTTCCCTAACATACATATATATATATATATATATATATATATATATATATATATATATATATATGTGTGTCTTTTGTATATATATATATATATACACATG